CCTCAAACTCACAGAGATCCACCTGCCTCTGCCTCCTGAGTGCTGGGATTAAAGGCGTGCGCCACCCCTACCCGTTATTTTATTTCTAAAACAATCTTATTTTACATACCAATCCCAGTTCTCTCTCCCTTCCATCCTCCCACTCCCCCCATCTTCTCCCCACCCCACCCCATCCACTCCTCAGGGCGAGGCCTCCTATAGGGAGTCAACAAAGTCTGTAGCATCACTTGAGGCAGGACCACAGCCCATCCCCTGTATTTAGGCTGAGCAAGGTATCCCTCCAAAGGGAATGGGTTCCAAAGAGACAGTTCATGCACTAGGGATAAACTCTGGTTTCACTGCTAGTGGCCCCAAAAACTGCCCAAGCCACACAACTGTCACCCTCATTCAGAGGGCCTAGTTCAGTCTTATGCGGGTTCCCCAGCTGTCAGTCTGGAGTTGGTGAGCTCGGGACATTTTCTTACCTGCTAACTGATGTAGAAGGGTCCAGCCCTCTGTAGGAGGTGGCAGGCCTGTGCAGGTGGGGCTGGGCGGGACTAGAAAGGTAGTTGAACTAGCCATGGGAAGCAAGCCAATGAGCAGCATTGTTCCTGGTCTTTGTTGCTGTGCCTGCCTGGCGTTCCTCCCTTGGCTCCCCTGTCCACCTCAAGTCGCTTTTGGTCATGGTGTTTATCCCAGCAACAGAAAGCAAACCAGGACATGAAGAAAGGTTCTGCAGCTGGCCTATAACCCCAGCCCTTTGGTAGTATTATGGGTAAACAAAGTTAAGTATCCACACAATGGAATAGTATCCATGCATAAAAAGAAGTAACATTCTGAGACTGAACCCAGGGCCTAAAACATGTAAGGTAAGTCTCTGTTTGTAAGCTGTATCCTCGAACCATTTGCCTAGCAAATGTAAGGCCCTAGGCTCCCTTCCTACACACATATACACACATGCATACACACCACATACACACACACCCCACACACATATACACATACCATACATGTACACCACACATACACACACAAACACACATGTACACACATACATACCACACACATACACATACCATATACACATGCACACAAACACACATACATATACACCTCACTCATATACACCACACACACATACATACTCTGCAATACACATATATACACCACACACATACACACACACACACACACACACACACTCATTTAATCTCAATAAGAAAGTCAGAACGCACAAAGGAGCCCTTCCACCTGAACTGGAAGCTGGTACAATCTTAAGGAAGGTATCAAGATTGAAGTATGAGGCTGGGAGCCATCCAAGTCCCAACTGTCACCTAACAAATGAGGTAAGGAATGCACCTACCAGGCAGGGCTGAAGTCTTTGTGCTTGCTATGAGAGAAAGGAAAAGTCCATTGCCCAGCAGAGGCTTGTTTCAGACTCGGGGCAGATGGCAGACACCAGAAGGCATTCATCCACATGACTGACAGAGGCCCTGCTCCCTGAATCAGGACAGGACTTTTGTGGAGGAAGACCCAGAATGGTCCTCAGGATACTTACAGTGACCCAAGGATAGAAAGATATCAGTCACGACAAAGGAGCCACAAACAGTCTCCCCATACTAAGAACGGGCACCAAAACAAGACAGCATTTTCCTCCAATGAAGCTGCCAGAAACCATTTTTAGTATGCAAAGTTGGGGGACACTGAGTTCTGTCATTGTCCAGATGGTAGGAACGGGAACTGGTACAGCCACTTTGGGAGGCAACTTGCCAGTATCTGTCCAGAGAGATGCGCAGCCTATGATTCAGCAAGTCCTGTGCCTGGTTTTCATTGCAAACACACCCCCGAGTGTACAGGGAAAGAGTGTGTTTATGGAACACCGTGTGCAGTGGTGAAAGGTTGAGAAGCCTCAGTGTTCCCGAATATGTGAACACCTACAGAACCTCTACACATAGCTGGTCAGGTGACACTCAACAATATCCAGCACTTGGGGAGTGGAGGCCAAGGGTTAGGAGTTCAAAGCTAGGTTCATAGCAGGTTTGAAGGCAGTCAGGCTACATAGGACCCTATCTCAAAAAAGAGATAGAGAGAGAGAGAAGAGGGGGGATGGAGGGGGAGGAAGGAAGAAAGAGAAAGAAAGAAAGAAAGAAAGAAAGAAAGAAAGATTTCTACAGAGACCAGTCTCCTCTGACAAAATAGTAATTGTGGGTATAAAGTGAATTGAAGTGTGGGACATAGAATTGAATTTAAAAAGGAACCTAGAGGAGCATATACTGTGTATATCATTCATGATAAAAAGGAACCTAGAGGAGCAGATACTGTGTATCAGTCATGATAAAAAGAGCGCAGGTGTGTTGGGCCCTTGAACCCCACCTGGCAGAAACTCCGCCTGGCAGGCTGAGATGCAAGACCAATAAAAGAGAAGACTTTTCTGTTACTGGTTTTGCTTGTTTGTCTTGTTTTTTGTTTTGTTTTTGTTTGGTTGGTTAGTTTTGGTTCTTGGTTCTTGGTTTTTCAAGACAGGGATTCTCTTTGTAACCCTGACTGTTATGGAACTCTCTCTATAGATCAGGCTGGCCTCAAACTCAGAGGTCCACCTTCCTCTGCCTTCCCAGTGCTGGGATTAAAGGTGTGCGCAGCCACTCCTGCCCAGCTCGTTCTCAGCATTTCTATGGCAGCTCGCAACCATTATAACTCAATTCCAGGGGAGAAACACTCTCTTCTGGATCCAAGCACTTCAGGCACGCACGTAGTGCACAAACACAGATGCAGGCCAAACATTCGTACAAATAAAATAAATAACTCTTTGAATCTTTTAAAGGACATCTTTTTTAATTCTTTGAAAGTTTAATAACATTTACAACATATTTGATCATATCCACCCCAACTACATCTTTCTACTCCTATACTTTCCGAGACACACACACACACTTTCATGTCCTTTCTTTTCCCCCTTTTTTTAAAAAACCCACTGAGTCCAGTTAGTACTGTCTACTGGAATGGTGACTAGGTTTAGAAGTGTGATCTCATGCAGAGAATAGATGGTGTAAAGACCATATGTGGTGGTTTGATTGAGAATGGCCCCATAGAGTGCTTAGTCGCTAGGGAGTGGAACTGTTTAAGAAGGCTTAGAAAGATTATGGCCTTGTTTAAGTAGTTGTGGCCTTGTTGAAGGAAATGTGTCAGTAGAGGTGGGCTTTGGGGTTTCAAAAGCCCACACCAAGCCCAGGAAAAATATGTAATGTAAGGGTGGCTTACATTTTTAGAGGTTCAGTTCATTATCATCATGGTGCTACGTGGTAGCGTGCAGACAGACATGGTGCTGGAGAAGGAGCCAAGAGTCCTACATCTTGATCCACAGACAACAGGAAGTGAACAATGTTTGAGCAAAGGAGACCTCAAAGCCCACCCCAACAGTGACACGCTTCCTCCAACAAGACCACACCCTCTCCAGCAAAGCCACACCTCCTAATAGTGCTGCTCCTTATGAGGTTCTGAGAGCCAAGGACATTCAAACTCCCACTGCTGCCTTGGCCATGGTGTCTCTTCACAGCAGAACAGTTACTAAGACACCTCACCATCTCCAGAGGACACTGTTTCATAGCCTCCACCCTATCCTCCAGCTCCTACGTTCTTCTGTCTCCTCCTCCGCGATGCTCTGGGGGAGAGGTGATTTAACTGTCTCATGTAGGGCTGAACTCTACACACTCACTTATTCTCTACACTCTGACCACTCCCAAATCTCTGCATTAACTGCTGCCCACTGCCAAAAGAAGCTTCTAGGGTCAAGGTGGACAGCAGTGGCAACCCATTCCATGGGTATAATCATAACTATTCAGCAGTTTGACAACATGAAGCAGGCTGCCCTAGGGTTTATGGCCTCTCAAGCCACGGGCTTTTGATCTTTTAAATTTTATTACAGTTTTATTATTTAGTGTGTATGTGTGTGATGTGTACGTGTGAGCACAATCATACAAGAGCACAATGTTTGAAAGTGGACTCTCGTCTTCTACCATGGATCCTGGGGCTCAAACTCAGATCATCATGAGTGTTCTACAAGTGCCCTTACCAGCGAAACCATCTCACAGTCCCGGCATGTTCTTTCCCTTGATGTCTCTAAGCTTTCTGCTTTTCTTACATGTCTATTTACTGATCTGTGGTTTTCTTAGGACTCGTGGGGACCTGAGTACAGAGCTTCCTGACATCCCAGGAAGCTCACAGCTAGTAACCCATAGCACAGGAGGAACCACAAAGCATGCCCTGCTAAAGAAAGCAGGCAAAAGAAAGCAGTTCCGCGGGGACCACCAGAGCTGATGGGGACAATGACAGCAGAGACAGACTCTCACGCCTAATCGCGAACTGTTAGCAACTTTGGGGGGGGGGGGCTCAGATTCTCCCTCCTTTATCAGATTTGATCACATCTTCCATGATTGGTTCTATTTTTCACCCTATTTTCATGCCCACATTCAGCCTATCAGGGCCCTCTATAAATCTAAGCTTCAGAACACAGAATGAGTCAGAGTTCAGAGGAGAAAGCTCTTAGCTTGAGAAAGCCAGCCTCCGGACCTCATTCCTGCTCTGCCTCCTAAACTCCAGGCTTTGGCAGATGATGGGAATTCCTGCAGCAGTTTCCAGACCACAGACATCAGACTACAAACTCCTCAGAACTACAGACTTACTCCACGAGGGTGGCTCTTGATGGGCACCCGGCACCTTCAAAACCTTTGTATGTAATACTTCCAGGGTGCTAGCCTGGGACCTAGCATCACTAAAGTATCCCATGTTGCGATCGGCTTTAACTTGTTTTACCCCATTTAAAGTTGTCCACCCCGAACTGTCTATAGGAACAGACAATACAGTAACTCTTATTGCTGTCTGCCCACTCCATTCTTGGAAGAGGACTGGACAGGAACCCAGTCTTCACACACTGTCTTGATTGAAGTACACAATGTGCTCTCTGGAGTGGCGACCCGTACCTTTAGTCCCAGCACTTGGCATCAGAAGCAAGAGGATCTCTGTTAGTTCAAGGCCAGCCCTGGTCTACATGGTGAGTTCCAGGCCATCCAGGGCTACACAGTGAGACCCTGTCTAAATAAAAATAAATAAACAAATAAGCCAAAAAGTAACCATAGTAAATATACATTTAGAAATAGCTAAAATGATGACCATTATGTATATTTTAAACATAACCTGTGGTTCAGATACTGTAAAGAAGAGGGTGAAGCACCTTTTGGGCTACCAACCAGCTCCCAAATCATGACACAGAGATTTCTTATTAGTTATGAATGTTTGGCCTTCTCTCGTCCAGTTCTGCCAATCGAGGATCCTCGGTTGCTCAGCCCCTGAAGACGGGAGTTTCGCACGCATGCGCATGTCATCCAGGGGAGGCCTGCTGTCCAGACAGGAAGAAATACTGGCTCTCTAGGATCCAAACATTGAAGAGGAGCAGCCATCAGTTCTCATCCTTGCCAGCCGGGAGCTGGAGCAGAAGGGTCAGTATTTAACAGCTGGCTTCCGCTGTGGGTAGCATCTCATGCTTCGCATTTGCTGGTTTACACTGTCGGTCATAAGCATCCTGCCACGGCCGGTTCGCCAGTTTGAAGCTGCAGCACAGCCTCTCGTTTATAACATTCCTGAAAACCTACCCACCTGGCTTTGGCTCCGCAGCCCGGCTCTTTGCAGTTCCACCCCAGGAAGTGAACTCATTCAGAGGACACTCAGAGGACAGAGGGGGAATGTAGGCGTGTGGTAGGTCTCCCAGCACTTCGGTCTCAGAGAGCGTCGGGTGTGTGCGTGTGGAGGCTGGTTAGATCTGCCATGCGTTGCCTGTCAGCAAGAGGAGTCACTCAGACACAGGAGCAAGTCAGGAGCCCCTGAAGCCCTGTGAAGGGGGGCGGTACCCCTCCTTCAAACCCCTTTCCACATTGTGAGGAATGAAGAGAGCAATACCTGGGGCCTGAGTGCTGTGAGCCAGGCTTCTTCTCGGGGTGGGGCCAACAACCAGCTCCCAAATAACGACCCAGAGGCTTCTCGTTAGTTCTGAAAGCTTGGCCTTATCTTATGCTTGTCCCATTATCTGTTTCTCTTCTTGTATGTTTTGCCTTGGGGGTTTTTACCTTCCTTCCTCTTTTCTTCCTTCCTTCCCTCCTCCCTCCTTCTCTCCCTCCATTCTTCCCTTCCTCCTCCCTCCTCCCTCCCTCTCCTCCTTCCTTTCAATCTTACTTTCCTGCTGTATCCATGTCTGACTGCCTGGCTTCTGGCCCCTGGCGTGTTCCTCTCTTTCTCCCTCATTCTCTCCTCCTTCTTCTCTCCTGTTTTCCTCTTGAGCCTTGATTTCTCCTCCTCCTCTCTGCCTGCCAACCCTGCCTGTCCCTTCTCTGCCTAGCTATTGGCCATTCCGCTCTTTATTAGACCAATCAGGTGCCTTAGGCGGGCAAGGTGAAGCAGCAACACATCTCTACATAATCAAACAAATGGAGCATAAACAAAGGTAACACAGCTCCACATAGTTAAAACAATATTCCACAACAGTGCTGCATACTGTAGTGTGTTCACCTCGGTGAGCCACCTCTGTCTCGTCATACGCCATTGGTCAGTTTCCAGGTTAATTGCTGTTCCTTCAACCCCATGCTTGGGACTTGCCATCTCAGGCACCAATGAAGGGGAAAAAGGCAGAAGTATCTATCGAGTACCCAAACAAGGGAAGGTAGTTCACTTATGCTATTCCCAGGCAGATGAAACTCAATTTGGGGGCTCTTGGACATGCAGAGATGATTCAGGTCATGGAAAGTGTAGAAGCATTTGCAATACTCACCTATCCGGTTCTGAAAGTCAACCTCACTGCCAACCCCAGGATCTCCCAACACAGAGGCTTCAGGGCTCCAGGAACACTCCTCAGATCCAGCTCAAGACTGCTCCCTTGACAGCCACATCTTTCTCTCATCCCTTGCCTGGCATCTTTGAGGATTTGCTTTCCTGCTCTTACTCTTCCCGGACAGACTAAAAACTTTAATTCACGTGATGTCTGATTTCATAAATTAGCTTCACTTCACATCAGCATTAACTCTCTAAACCATGCATTGCACGCAGTCCCAAGTGTCAACAGGCCCTAAGACAGAAAGCGAGAGAGAAAACCACAAAGACAGCCCCCAGAAGATGTGACTTTAACTCCCACAAGAAACATCCTGAAATGTTGCACCGCATTCTTGCACATCAGCGTTCAGCTCTCCAAAAAGAAAGGGGCACAGGGGACATATGTAGCCCAGTTAATGGTGAAGCAGAATTAACAAAAACTCAAAGAGAGAGAGAAATTGGGCTTCAACTTGAAGGACAGAAAAGCAAACTAGTCAGCCACTGACTCTTACCTCGACCTCAGTCTGAAATGACGATCCTGCCTCCAGGAATCTCAGAATGAGCCTGAGCCTGGGAGCTGTCTCCTCCCATTCTGTAGTCCTCTCTAGGGCTGGGATTAAAGGTGTGCACCACTGGGATTAAAGGCATGCACTGCCCGGTTTCTGTGGCAAACTATTGTGGCTACTAGGATTAAATGTGTTTGTCACCACTGCCTGGTCTGTAAGGCTGACCAGTGGGCCTGTTTTACTCTCTGACCTCCAGGCAAGCTTTATTTATTAAAATACAAATGAAGTATCACTACATAACAGATTGCTCCCTAGAAAGCCCTCAGTGCTAGGTTTGATATTCAGCACTTTATAAACTGAGCATGGGGGTAGATGCCTATCATCCTATCTTTAAAATAAATTGCAATTAAAATCAGAAAGAAATGTCGAGTACTATGGAAAATAAAGGTTTGCTGCTTATTCATTCCCAAGTCGCTTTTGGTCATTGTCCCATCACAGCAATAGAAAGCAAACTGAGGCAAGCTCTGATTAATGGGTATAAATTTGTAGATCAGAGGGCAGCTTGACAACATGTCCATTCAGCGAAACAGTGGCAGGCTGTCCTGTCAGGCCTGTGACCTCCCGATCCATTTGTCACACCAGGCATGAATTGCCTCTTGTGGAATAGGCCTCAAATCAAATCGGAAACTGGTTGGTTGGCCCCATAACCTTCACGCTGCTGTTAGAGCAGCAGACAGTACCCTGTCAGGCAGGTCAGTATCGTGGCATTCAGTAGTCATCTCTGGGCAATGCCATCGACGGTGTCTCTCCCTGGAGGACTGCAAAGACCTTCCAACACTGTGGGAACCAGCCCGGGGAGTCTTCAGTTAGTTCCAGCTTGATTTTTTTGAACATTTTTGGTCTTAAGTAGCATTTATAAAATAATTTTCACACATAGCTCCAATTATACATTTTTATTATACATTTTATTAAACTATACTCACAAATTTACATATTCAAGTACAGATTCTATATAAATACATAGAGATCTTAAAAAGTGAGACAAAATTACATGTTCACAATTCAAAAACATAAAGATGAGGTAACTGTGAGAAAAACAGTAACAATAAAACATTTGCTTGTTTGCAATATAAAAGATCTATTTGTTGTCACTAAAATATTAATGTATAACAACATTTTGTACAACTTGAGAAAACATTAATACTAATATATTTAGTAAGAGCAATGAGTTTCAGTGGGTTTCGTTATATTTTAAAACTCTTACCACAATACTTTTTATACTGTGATTAGTAGATTTGGTTGAGTGTAGGTATTGGTTTTAATGACCAGCTCAGATGAGAAAAGCACCCTCGCCAAACTGCTTGCCTGCTTCCTAATTTCTGGGGTCAGAGCTCTGAATGGAGCCCAGTGTTTCGAGCATGTTAGATAAGAATTCTGCCATTGTGAGGGCTAACATTGGTTTTCAATTCGACTTACCTGAGAAGAGGACACCTCCGTCAGATTATATTGGTCTGTGGCCATGTCGCGGGGCATTTTCTTGATTGCTAATTGATGTAGAAGGCTCCAACCTACTGTGGGCAGTGCCACCCCTAGGAAGGCAGTTCTAGGTTGTATAAATAAGCAGGCTGAGCAAGCCCTGAGGAGCAAGCCAGTTAGCAGTGTTCCTCTATGACCTCGGCTTCAGTTCCTGCCTTCAGGTTTTTTTTTTGTTTTTTTTTTTTGGGGGGGGGGGGGTTGGTTTTTTTCGAGACAGGGTTTCTCCGTGGTTTTGGAGCCTGTCCTGGAACTAGCTCTTGTAGACCAGGCTGGTCTCGAACTCACAGAGATCCGCCTGCCTCTGCCTCCCAAGTGCTGGTATTAAAGCCGTGCGCCACCACCACCCGGCTGCCTTCAGGTTTTATAAGACAGAAGTCGAAACTAGGCATCAGGCAGGGATGCAGCTCAGAGATAGAATACTTGCCTAGCATATGTGAGCCCCTGACTTCAGTCCCCAGCGTGGCAAAACAGGACAAGATGGGTTTCTCTTGGCTCGTTCCAGCTGGGGTCACTGGGTGGCAACTGCTTCTTTTTCCTGGACATCCTGAGGCTCACAGATCTCATCTTTCATCTTCCAAATCAGCAATGTTGGGCTGAGTCCTCAGGCGACCACCTCTTTTGCTCTTCTATTTCCATATAGAAACCATTGAGATACGTCCAGCATGACTCTAATCCCAGCAGTGGAGAGGAGGGGCAGGTGGAGTCTGGATTCGAGGTCAGCCTGGTTGACAAAGTGAGTTCAAGGACAACCAAGGCTACACAGAGAAACTGTCTCAAAATAAATGAGGGAGGAGAGAGAAACCTGTACGATGAGGTCGGGTTCACCTGATGATTCGAGATAAGCATCGCATCTCAGGGACACGTGATTAGCACCCCTGACTCCACAGTGATTTTAACTGACCTTTTCCATCTGACACATTTAGTTCTCTAGATGTGAGTAACACTGGGAGGCTAGACCCTCCTCTGGCTGACACAAGCTTCAGGCTTTTCCTTCTTCCAGCATGCGATTCCTGGGGAAATTCCAGTTTCTTGAGGACCAGTTTTGCAATTATTTGTGTAGACAAAGGATATCTTCATTCCTGCCAGGGGAAGGAAAAAGGCATCCATACACATTAAATGAATTATTAATTAAAAATTTTAATTATTAAAAAATTTTCAAAAACATTTTCCAATAAAATATTGGTATCTAAAATAATAACTAAAATAAAAATGATTAAACCACAAACAAAAAACTTAATAAACATTTCTCCAAAGAAGAAACACAAATATCAGTAAGTATATGAAGAGCTAAGAAGAAGGAAAATTAGAATGTTATCATTTAATAGGTATGGAGTTTTGGTTTACATATGGGTATAGGAGAGAGGGAGACAGGGTCTCACTATTTTGGCCAGGATGGTCTAGAACTCCCGGACTCAAATGGTCCTCCAACTCAGTCTTCTGAGGACCTAGGGCTCTACATGGATATGCATGATCATGTCCAGCTTCAGAGTTCCAGTTTTATGATAAAAAGAATATGGAGATGAAGGTATGTTGGTTCTCAGGGTTGTGGCAAAATACTTGAGCAAATGACTTCAGTGGAGAAAGGACTTACTTGTTTTGGGCTCACAGTCTCAGAGATGTCAACTATGGTTGCCAGTGCCATTGTTTCTGGACCTGTGGTAAAGCGGTACTTTATGGTGAAAGGGTGAGGCAGACCAAAGCTACTTACTTCACGGCAGCTAGATAGAGACACACAGAGGAGAAAGAGGGGAGGAGGAGGGGGAGGGAGGGAGGGAGGGAGGGAGGAAGCTGGGGGCAAGACACAGCCTTCAAAGGCTTGATCCCAGTGAGCCACTAACTCTGACTTGGTCTACTTCCTATTTAGTCATGAACTCATCAAAGGAGAACTCCATAGATAAACTCCTAATAGCATGCTTGGGCTAAAGTCTTCAATGAATGACCCTTGTGGGGACACTTCACATCAAAGCATAATACCCGAGATACTGCAGGAGAACCAGGCAGGCCCTGTTCTTATCCTGACCCTTGTGGAGGAAGACATGGAAGAGGAAGTCAGCCTTTGACTCCAGGAATGGAAGCCTTAGGTGAGTACGCAGTTTGCAGTTTACTGTCCGTCCCCGTCAGGATGTTATTCTCCATGCGCTCCAAGCCCCCTTTCCGCAACGTTCTCTCTGAAGTCCCTCAATGCCAGGGTTGCACCTCTTCCTGAAGGGCCAACTATTAGCTACCCACCCCCACCACATCTGCCTTAAGGTTTATGTTAATGGGGATGATGTTGGAGCCTGGGAACCAGGAACCAAATTCCTCCAGTCCCAACGTTGTCACGGTCTATGACGGGCACGTGGTGGAGGGTGGCTTCCCTGGAGCAACTGTATAAATCATAACACCCTGTGGCTCCTAGCTTGAGTGGACCCTTGAAGGGCTTGGCGGGGGGTGGCGGGGGAAGAAGGAGGGTGGAAAAAATGAAGAGACAGGAAACTGAAGCGCAAGATAGAGAGAACAGATCTAGCGTCCCCCCGGTGCGACCACATGACAGCGACATTTCACCAGCAGCTCGGAAACAACTGTGAAGCCCCCAAATGAGAAGCTTGAGATAAGTCACCGAGGAAAGAGTGGGGGAGTTCAAAGGTTCAAACAACTCAAGAGCAGAGACTCCAAGAGTCTCAAATCAGATTACCCAGAGGCCCACATAGGAGCCCACCTTCAACCCCAGGTGTCCTAGGCCATGAGGGGATATGGTTCAGGTGCCTGAGAACACCAGTGACCAACCCAGCCAGAAGCAGGAAGGAAGGATAAAAATGGGATTAAGTCAAGCAGGAGAGTTGGCAAGGGTCTTGGCAGGCAGTGGGTCGTATCTATGTCACGGGCTAAAAGGATAAAAGTGGGATTAGATCAAGGAGGATGGTTGGAGAAGGTCCCACGGCCAGTGGGTCACATCTGGGTCAGGGGCTGGCATGAAAAGGAAAGGAAATCTGGGTGGAGTGGCAGCAGGAAAGCATAAGGGCCTGAGTTTGACCCCAAATCCCATGTTTTTAAAGACGACTGTGTACGGTGGCATGTACTCATCTTGTCTCTGTGCGAGAGGAGTGGAAAAATGAAAAGCCAAGGTTTGATGGTTTGCTGGTCAGCCAGCCTCCTCTATGGGCCAGTGAGAAATCCTACCTCAAAATAATAACAATAATAATAATAATAATAATAGATGTGCCTGAGGAACGAAAACAAGGCTGTCTCCTGACCTCTACACACATGCACACGTATGTGCATCCACATAGACACAAGTACCTGTACACACACACGTATGTGCATCCACATAGACACAAGTACCTCTACATACACATGCACACGTATGTGCATCCACATAGACACAAGCACCTGTACATACATGCACACGTATGTGCATCCACACAGACACAAGCACCTGTACACACACATGCACACGTATGTGCATCCACACAGACACAAGCACCTGTACACACACATGCACACATATGTGCATCCACACAGACACAAGCACCTGTACACACATGCACACGTATGTGCATCCACATAGACACAAGCACCTGTACACACACACACACGTATGTGTATCCACATAGACACAAGCTATGTACACACACACACGTATGTGCATCCACACAGACACAAGCACCTGTACACACACATGCACACGTATGTGCATCCACACAGACACAAGCACCTGTACACACACATGCACACGTATGTGCATCCACATAGACACAAGCTATGTATACACACATGCACGTATGTGCATCCACACAGACACAAGCACCTGTACACACATGCACACATATGTGCATCCACATAGACACAAGCACCTGTACACACACATGCACACGTATGTGCATCCACATAGACACAAGCACCTGTACACACACACACGTATGTGCATCCACATAGACACAAGCACCTCTACATACACATGCACACGTATGTGCATCCACATAGACACAAGCACCTGTACACACACATGCACACGTATGTGCATCCACATAGACACAAGCACCTGTACACACACATGCACACGTATGTGCATCCACATAGACACAAGCACCTGTACACACACATGCACACGTATGTGCATCCACATAGACACAAGCAAGCACCTGCACACACACATGCACACGTATGTGCATCCACATAGACACAAGCACCTGCACACACACACGCATACACCCAAGGGCTACAGGGTGATCTTCCAGCACAGAAGGGGACATGGGAGACACTGGGCTAACCCTTGACCTTTAATTACAAGCAATGCTGGAAGAACCTGTGTGGTCATAAAACCAAACCTCAGTGATGCAAGGTATACAAGGCTGGTTGTCGTTATGACTCCTCCCCTCTGTACATGCAACAGCTTTGCTGCATGTGTGTTGTGTTCAGGGAGGGGGATATAGTTCAGATGGTAATGTTTGCCCAGGATGAAAAAGTCTTTGGGTCTCTCCTTAGCACCACATAAACCTGGTGTGGTGGTGCACCCCTGTAACACCAGCAGCAGTGACATGGTGTGCACCCCTGTAACATCAGCAGCGGTGACATGATAATACACCCCTGTAACACCAGCAGCGGTGACATGGTGTGCACCCCTGTAACACCAGCAGCGGTGACATGGTGTGCACCCCTGTAACACCAGCAGCGGTGACATGGTGTGCACCCCTGTAACACCAGCAGCGGTGACATGGTGTGCACCCCTGCAACACCAGCAGCGGTGACATGGTGTGCACCCCTGTAACACCAGCAGCGGTGACATGGTGTGCACCCCTGTAACACCAGCAGCGGTGACATGGTGTGCACCCCTGTAACACCAGCAGCGGTGACATGGTGTGCACCCCTGTAACACCAGCAGCACTCAGGAGATGGGGGCAGAAAGATCAGAAGTTCAAAGTCATCCTCAGCTATAACACAAATTTGAGGCTACCTTGGGACATACAAGACCACTGTGTCGCCCCACCTCTAATGGAGTGTTTTGTGGCACCAGTTTTATGCAGAGCAGAATCCGAAAGTGTCATGATTCTAAACCTGATCTGACCTCCCTAATCTTCAGAAATAGCCTGCAGTCTCCTTTACTCTTTTCAGCTGGTCATCTCTGAAAGGGACGTGTGTGAGCGAGGAGACACGCCCGGGACGGATGAGGGCAGCTAGTGTCCAGCCCTGTGTACAGGACAGGCGGCTGCACGTGTGTGCAGCACCCTCTCCTGTAAAAGCAGCGTATGCAGATGGGCTAGCCACTGAGCTCGGGTGGTGGAAGCCAAGAAGGGCACGTGTCTGTGAAGAACAGCAGCGTTGGGTTTGCCCCTTCACAGCCTCTCCAGGTTGCGGAAAAGAAGAGGGGGTGGAGGCTGCTGTGAGAAGGGAAAAAAAAAGAAAAAACAAAACCCAGCCACAACTGCTATTAGAGATTGGCTCACCACCCGAGTGGAAGTACTGTGGCTGCTGCCCAGAGCACACAGGAGGCACCAGCGGCTGGGGCTCAGGAAAGGTCTCTCTAGGCAGTAGCCATGGCTTGGCCACCTCCCTACTGGCTCTGCCTGCTGGGGACCTTGGTAGGGCTCTCGGCTACCTCAGCTTCCAAGAGCTGCCCAGCCAGACATTACCGGACTCCGGGAGGACTCTGCTGCCAGATGTGCAAGCCCGGTAAGAGTGGGGGCTCAGCAGGGCTGTTGAGATGCTGTTTAAGATGAAGGGGGGAGTACAGGATTAAGACTGAGCTCAAGCAAAGTCAGGCAGCCTGCGGAGCCTGGAGGAATCACCTTGCCTGGACCTTGATTCTGGCCCCTCTGCTCACAGGTACTTTCCTTGTGAAAGACTGCAGCCAGAACAGAACAGCTTCTCAGTGTGACTCGTGCCTACCGGGTGTCTCCTTCTCTGCAGACTACCATGCCCGGCGCCACTGTGAGAGCTGCAGGCATTGTAACTCTGGTAAGAGGGGCGCGGAGTGCAAAAGGTGGCACTGAGCACATCGGGGCTGCGATGCTGGTGTAGCTAGTGCTAGAGAGCTTCAGCTGCTTTGAGGCACATGGGAAATGGAATTAAGGCTGAAACAGGGTGTGTGTGCCTTGGGCAGGGCGGGTGGGGAGACAGCGGTTCATGGAAGACGTGCAGTTTTGAAGGGTTGGAGAGAAGGACTCTGTAGATAGGACTGAGACAATAAAATGGCGTAGTGTCATATGCCCACAATCCCAACTACAAGGCTGATGGATGCGGGAGGATCACTTGATCACAGGAGTTCAAGACCAGCCTGACCGTGTCTCAAAAAACAAAACAAACAAACAAAAAGGCAAATGAGATGGCTCAGTAGGCAAAGATACTTGGCACCAAACATGGCGACCTGACTTCATTCCCTGGACCATATGGTAGAAGGAAAGAATCAACTTGTAAGCTGTCCTCTGAGTTCATATATATGCATGAGCACACACAGAAATGAAAAGGTACAATTTTCTCGGTGTAGTGGCGCATGCCTTTAATCCCAGCACTTGGGAGGCAGAGGCGGGCAGATCTCTGTGAGTTTCAGGACAGTCATGACTGTTACATAGAGAAACCCTGTCTTGAAAAGGAGGAAAAGAAGGAGGAGGAGGAGGAGGAGGAGGAGGAGGAGGAGGAGGAAGAAGAAGAAGAAGAAGAAGAAGAAGAAGAAGAAGAAGAAGAAAATATATAATGTAAGAAGGGATAGTTCCAGAAACCAAGGTCTCAAAAAAGCAACTTCTAGCCAATGAACCACCCATGTTCCTGTATTCCCACAACACTTGCAGGACAGCTGTTCAGAACTTGGAGTTAGGAAATAACATCAGAAGCCAGGTTCCCCCTGGCTTTTTTGCACAAAAGGCATTTTGGGGAAAAGGCAGATAGACCTGTCCTTTTTGATTTATAAATGTCTGCTCTCTACAAATGAAGAGGTAGGGTATCTATAGCTCTCTTTTCAGACTCCGCTGTCATTTCCCCACCTCTGCTGCGGATCCAGGAAGTCTGTGTTAGCGTACACTAGACGGGGCGCACTTTAAAGAGGCCCCTTTGAAATAACGGTTGCTAGCGAGACACTTTTTCACATGCATAAAAAAAATTTAATTGCTATTGAAAAAAACCTCTGTAGGAAGTATAAATTGGTTTTAGTAACGTCAGAAGACAATGTGTTCTGGAAGCAGAGGCAACTAGAGAGTAAATTCTAACGGCAATTTGTTTGTTTTGTTTTGTTTTTTGTTTTTCAAGACAGGTTTTTCTGTGTAGCTTTGGAGCCTGTCCTGGAACTCGCTCTGTAGACCAGGCTGGCCTTGAGCTCATAGAGATTCGCCTGCCTCTGCCTCCCAAGTGCTGGGATTAAAGGCATGTGCCACCACTGCCCTGCTGGCTCTAACAACAATTTAAGAGGAGCATCCCAGAAGGCTATACTACAGCAAATATAATAACGAAACCTTGTCTGTGGGGATTTCAGATAATTCCTACAAACATATTACACTGTGTCTAAATCAAAGAGAGTTATGTGTCCAAGTGGTAACATTTTATATAAGTAGTTTGTCCTATATCCCAGCAAGTCTTAGATGTGACTTAAATGTGTGACTTCACTAAATTGTCTTTTAATTTTTTTTTCAAGACAGGGGTCTCTGAGTAGCCCTAGCTGTCCTAGAGCTTGCCCTGTAGGCCAGGCTGACCCGGAACTCACAAAGATCCACCTGCCTCTGCCCTCCAAGAGCTGGAACTAAAGGTGTGTTCCAATACCTCCCAACTTAATATTATACTCTTTTAAAAAAGCAAAACCTTGAGCCAGGTTTGGTAGTGTACGCCTTTAAACCCAGAGGCAGGTGGATCTTTGTGAAATTGAGACTAACATGGTCTACATAGCTAGTTCCAGAATAGCCAGAGATACCCAGAGAAACCCTGTCAAAATTTTTTTTTGTTTTCCACAACTCAACAGTTGGGCTCGATCCCCAGCGCAGCCTTAAAGGGTGTTTGTTAGTCATAGGTCATAGTCAAGGGTTCTCTTCAGCAGCATATTGCTAAAACTGAAAAGATACAAAGATTAACACGGCCCTGTGCACCATAGATTCATGAAACATCCCATCTTCTTATACACCAACAAGAACAAAATCATAATAAAAGCAACATGGTTTTGTTGTTGTTGGTTGGCTGGTTTTGTTTTTTGTTTTTGTGACAGGTTTTCTCTATATAGTCTAGGTTGACCTGGAGTACTGCATAGACCAAACTGGCCTCTTCCAGGATCCATCTGTCTCTAAATTCTGGGATTAAAGGCATGTGCCACCATGCCCAGCAAAGCAACAGAAATATTCCTAAAGAAACTTAGAAATAAGATTCTCTCTCTCCCCGGCAGCAGCCTCCTCAGGGTTGGGAATTCCTTAATCAAACAAAGCTCCTGGCTCACTCTGTAGCCTAGTCAAAAGGCCTTCTGCTGTCTGCCCTCAACCCCTCGCTGTGTCCCAGGTTGGCTCCAGCACCTTTGTCTGTCGGTCTCAACCTAATCCAAGAGATCAGGCAGCCAGCGGAGGCAACAGAGAGCAGGTCCACTGGGTCTGGCCTTCCCTAGGGGAAGTCTGTGGTCAGTTCAGGTACAGTCCAGACCCCTAAGTTCCCGGTACTCCCAACTGAAGACAAGAGCACTTCCGTCCAGTGTCAGCAGCCCACCCAGCGGTATCCCGAACCATCCCCCTCCACATTCGTCCCCACCACTTCCCAGGCTTCTCCCACTCTCCCTAAGCAGATCCTGGTCCAGGCTGACTCACAATTCCTAACAGGCCACAGAGGAACTAAGGTTTTATAGCAACTTGATCAGAATTCAGAAGAGAGGCCATAGGACCATAGAGGAATTGTCCTTTCTGTCCTGATAAGCCAAAAGCAGAAGAAAATTGTCAGAGTTGATGTAGGCCTTTGCCATCCACTGCTTCTACATCCCTCTTCTACCTGCAGGAATTCCCAGAGTGCTGTCCCACATCCAGATGTTGCTGCCTTCCAGGGAGTCACCCCACCCCCACCCCCACCCCCAACCCCAGGTCTAACCGGCACTGGTCCTACATTAGACTAAACTTTCTATTTTAAGAGCAGTGGAGGCCTACCATCAAGCTAGTCTGATAAAGTTAAAAAAACGAATGGGAATCATAGGGACGCTGTCCCTAACGGCTAAGAACGAGCGACTCCTCAAATGTGCACTGGCAGTAGATTGGATGGATACAGGCATGGCGGTATAGCCACACAATGGAGTACTACGCAGCCTCGAGAAAGAATGATCTGTAGTTAGAGCCAAGAGCATAGGTGAAGTTCACAAAGGGTTAAGTAAAAGAAGCCAGACAGAAATGAGGTCACATGGCCTGATTCCATTCATACCACACAGAAGGCTCAGAGGCAAGCACAGTTGTCCTGCGGTGGCAGAAGTCATGGTAATGGCTGCTTTGTGAGGGCTTTGTGGTAAGAAGACAAAAGAGGACTGTGTTCTGTCTTTAACGTGCTGCTGGTTGTACCCATGCGTCTAATTTGTACTTTTAAAATTATTTTTTTAAAGAGATCACTATGTAGCCCTGGCTGTCCTAAAACTCACACCCAGCTGGCCCCGAATGCATAGAGTTCCTCCTACTCCTACCTCCCGAGAGCTGGGATTAAAGGTGTGCACCCCGACACCTGGCAGGTTTTTTAACTTTTAAATTACATTTGTTTGTTTACTTGTGTGGAAGGAGGGCATGCCAGCCACAGTTCTCTGGTGGAAGTCAGAGGACAACTTGAAGGAGTCGGTTCTCTTCTTCCAACACGTGGGCCCCAAGGACTGAACCTAGGTTGTCAGGCTTGGCACTGGGCACCTGCTGAGCCATCGCTCTGCCCTTGTCCTGAATCTTAATTAAGCTTTGCACTTATGATGTGAATATTGTTGGGTTCTCACATCACACAAAGATGGGAGACAGACCACCAAAGTCTATTAAACTAGAAGCAAATTCTAGAAAAAGAAGAAAATATCTCCATGGGGCACTAAAAGCACTAAAACTTCTCAGCTATACCTGTGAGCACAGCCAGAGACTGGGCTTCTGTAGCTGTGGTCATGGGCAGTTTTCAAATTCCCTTTTTATAATAAGAAGCAAGCGTTAGGCATGAACAAAAGAATTTTTACAATCTCAAGGTAAAACTCAGATACAAATTACTTTTTTTTTTTTTTTTACAATTTCTGTTAACAGGGTTTTTCAGTTAAACTAGTGTTTGTATTTGTTTCTTTCTGGCACTTTCTGATGGTGTTTACCAAAGCTCCACACTCCCCTGATATTGCCAGTTTCACATAGCCAGGAAGGGTACGGGACAATGCACAACCAGAAAGTCACGTACGTCCCGTCATTTAAAAGTTAACTCAGGCCGGGCAGTGGTGGCGCACGCCTTTAATCCCAGCACTCGGGAGGCAGAGGCAGGTGGATCTCTGTGAGTTCGAGGCCAGCCTGGTCTACAAGAGCTAGTTCCAGGACAGGAACCAAAAAGCTACGGAGAAACCCTGTCTCGAAAAGTCAAAAAAAAAAAAAAGTTAACTCAGCTCTTGTCAGTTGCTGGTCATGAGTAGCGGCGGGGGGGGGGGGGGGGGGGGGGATCTAAAAGCTGACCCTCACTTTGCAGAGGACCCTGAGTCTTGCAGACAGAGCTGCCGGTGTAAAGCAAAGTAACCCACGGTTAATAGTTGATCCTTAAGCTGCTGAGACAGCTGCTGACAGCCTGCTCTCATTCTCCTAAGCTTACAACTTTATATTTCGTTATTTCTCCATTCTTATTTCTGGGACCTCCATTTCTGTGTTCTTATTCTTGGACGCTCCATATACCTCTACAGAAGTATATGACATGCCAATCAAAAGCTGTAAAGTAGAGGAGAGTAGGAAAGGAAATCATACAATCTCCGACTTTCAGTTCCTGTTTCTGAGCCCGTGAATTGTCTGTCAACCATTCTTCTTCAAAAACAATAGCAAGGTAGCAGGTGGCAGTGAGGGAGGGGCGGGGTGGGCAAGGAGGAGGTGATGGAAATGGGGAAACATTCGCGTCCTTTGAACAGGTTCAGGTCCCTGAAGGCCTGCTGTACCCTGTTTCTCCTGGCCCTCCCCTCTCCCAAGGTCCTCTCATTCGCAACTGCACAGTTACTGCCAACGCCGAGTGTGCCTGCTCCAAGGGCCTGGAGTGCAGGGACAAGGAATGTATGGAGTGTGACCCTCCTCTAAAGCCTGCGCTGACCACACAGCCGTCGGAGGCCTCGGGCTCACACCCTCCACCCACCCACCTACCTTATGCCCAAGGTATGTAGCAAGCTGCCCGTTGTCCAGTTCGCTGGGGGCAGTGGGGCAGCCCACCTAGCACTACCCGATCTGCACTTACACATAACTAGGCTCTGGGCCGGCTTGTCTTCCTTCTGTCTCCCTCCTGCAGAATCATAGGCTTTCGGTCCAGTGCATCCTCCGGAGGTTGGAGGGGAAGGAGGGCAGGTTTTCTGCTGTGATAGATTCTGTCTGTTTCTTCCAGTGATGCCGGAGCCCAGGACGATCTGGCCTGCACACACCAGTCAGCCTCCTGACTCAGCTCTCTACACCCACTGGCCATGTGAGTTTCCTCCCTGCTAATCCCCATTCCTCAGAGAAAGGGAAGATGAAAGAGGCCAAGGGAGCAGCGACTGGGAAACCCCTAAGCATGGGTGAAGAATAGGGGTACAGAGCTGCAGGAAAGTTCCGTGGATACGGGTGCTTGCTGAGCATGAGTTAAGGACCAGAGTAATATGTGTGTAACCTCAGCATTCAGAGGCAGAGACAGAGCCACATTTCCAGTTCAGAGAGGGAGCATGCTGGACTCTGAATGCACACACGAGTACTCACTACACACAAAGGAGAAGTGTGGGGGGGGGGCAGACAGACAGAAAGACAGAGCGGGAGGCAAAGAAGGGGAAAGCATGATCTAGCCATGGATTAGGAGATGGGGGACTGGTCGAGCAGAAGGCTGATAATGGAGGGAAAAACAGATTGGGCTGAGGGAGTCCAAGGTTAGACCCTCCCGCAAAGCCTGGGCACCCATGCCTATCACAGCCCGGAGACCCCTGTGCAGTTCAGACTGTATCCGAATCTTCGTGACCTTCTCCAGCATGTTTCTTGTCTTCATCCTGGGAGGAATCTTGTTCTTCCATCAAAGAAGGAATCACGGATCAAGTAAGAGATCAGCCGCCCCTCCTTCCCCAGCCCACCATCTCAGCCCTGCTAGCCTCACCTGAGACCCCATCCCGACTCCACCCTACTCTCCCCTTCACGGTCCCTACCTTCCACCCCGCTTTTCTCTTCTCAGCTTCATCCCCACCCTCCCTACTGCTGACCATGCCTTGGCCCGTTGTCTTTCCACAGATGGAGATGACCAGGCGGAACCTGAAGAGACCTGTCCTTACAGCTGCCCCAGGGAGGAGGAGGGCAGTGCCATCCCCATCCAAGAAGACTACCGGAAACCTGAGCCTGCTTCCTACCCCTGAGCCAGCACGGGGTGGGGTCCTTTCCACTGAGGCACCATCCAGGGGGATCTCCCCTACCATCTACCATCGTCATCAGAACCCTTTCCTGTGTACACGTGACACACCGCCCTTCTGAGACTGAGAGTGACGAGAACAGGATCCCCAATGTGTGGTCAGCAATCTTGGGGAGGCCCAGGCTCTAGCTGGAAAACACACTTCATATAAATGAAGCCCTCTGGCTTGCAAAATTACATGCTAAGGGTGAAAACGGCCCACGAAGGACTGGAGAGATGGCTCAGCGGTGAAGAGCACATATTGTCCTTCCAGAGGACCAGAGTTTGATTCCCAGAACCAGCAGGTGGCTCAAGACCACCTGTAACTCCAGCTTCAGGGAATCCGACACCTTCGACCTCCTCTGCCACCTACAAGCACAAAACATTCAGACACACAGACACAAGATTAAAAATAAAATAATAATAATAATAAAAACTTTTTGACCAGGCCACCAGCAGAAGACCCGCAGAAGCCCTGGGGCCGGAAGGTCTCACCTGCCACAAAGGACACTATCTGCAGACACACATACTTCCTGCTTTGGTTCCGTCTTCTCGGGAAGTTGTGACACTGCCGTGGGCAAAGCAGAGACTGAGACGTTCTCTCCGTTTAAGCCCAAGCTGTAAATAAATTCATTTTCTATTTCTGTATCCACTGTCCTTTTCTCTCAGTGTAGACAGGCATTGGAACCCAGAGTCAGGCCTCATGGCCAGGGGCTCCAGTAACAACTGTGAACGTTCTACAAGTCATTTCCCTTCCTACAAAAAAAAAGGGGGGGGGAGGAAAAGGAGGAAGGGATGACAGGGGAAGAAGTATGAAGGGAGAGTTCTAGCACCCTTCACCAGAGAAAAAGAAAAAGCCAGTCCTTACATAAGAAAATAAGGGAAAACAAACAAAAACTCTATGTGGCCCTGTGTGCTTGTAATTCAAGGGGTGCCAGGAGGGCAGGGCAGGGGTTGGAGTGGAGACAGGACATCACTGGCACTTGTTGGCCACCAAACAATCCCAGGTTCAGAGAGAGCCCCTATCTCAAGAGAATAAGGAGGAGTCGTGGAGAAGGTGCACAGGTCACACTGACCCTCCACACACAGGTGACTGTGCACCCTCACCCCACACATGAATACACCACACACACTAATACAATTGAAAGTGAAACTCCACACACTGTAGCTCTCCAGCTTCCTGAGACGGCAATCCCACAGCCAGGCCACACCCCACCTCACCCGTGGAGTCAAGGATCTGAACAGCGAGTTGTCACCTGGGCAGACCAACAGGATTCCACAGGGACCTAAAAGAATGAAGGGTCCCGAGTCCTGCAGATCTCTCTTCTGACTCCATCCCCTCTCCTGCCTTGTCTTAGAGTTGACGGGGAAACAAAACAGGTTTTGAAATCACCTGGGGATTTCTTGGGTGCAGGGTGGACAGAAGGACAGCGAGGAGGGTTCTGGCCGCTGCTGCTAATGGTTTCAGGCGACAAAGACAGTCGAAGTGAAAGCGAAAGAGAAGCGGACTGAGATCTAGTAGGGGAAGAGAGCACAAGCGGCTAGCCAAGAGAGGGGCGCTCCAAAGAATCCTCTCTTCAGCCCGGGATCTGTAGCAGAGGAACCGTGGAGAAGGCAGCCAGCGAGGAGGAGCCTGAGAGCAGCCTCCATGGGCTCGGAGCCCAGCTGGTGTCTGCTGCTCTGTCTGGCTCTCTCTGGGGCAGCTGGGACTGGTGAGTGCCGAGGTCTGGCTCCGTGGTGGGGGAAGGAAGCCTTGAGCTAAGGGAGTCAGAACAACAACTTCCTATTGCCTTCTAAGCCCAGCAGATGAGTGTGGCTTAACAAGACGACATGAGGAGCCAATTTGGAGAGGGGTACAGCTGAGAACTCACAGAAGGAGTAGAGGGACTTTCTCTGTGGAAAAGGCAGGGTGCCACCATTTCATCGGAGACAGCACTGCACCCTAGAAGGAGAAGGGGCTTCCCAGACTAAAGAATCACTGGGGAGGTGACTCTGGAGCAGGAGGCTAGAGGTCACAGCAATGGCAGAATGCAGAGGACTCTGGGCAGGTTGGGAAAATGGCTGTCAGCGTCCCTAGGAACAGCAAGAGCCCAGCTCCTCTCCCCCGTGGCAGGATTTGTTCCTTTTTGTTTTTGTTTTGTTTTACTGGGAACACCTTTCAAAAATTTTTTCCTTGTATTCCACAGTTGGACTGTAAAAATTTAGAAGCATAAATCCCCGACTCTGAGCAGGACAGATCCCGAACTTAAATAATTCCCTGAGTAGCTGCCTGAGTGGCAGGTGCCTCCCTAGAAGTTGGGTTTTTGGATGAAATGGCACCAAGACAGCAGGACCCAGAAGTCCTTACCTGGTGATCAGCCCATGGTTTGGAAAGGGGTGGGCGGCAAATATGGAGGAAGAAGGTGTTCATCTCACTGTTCCTGCAGAGCCCCCCACAGCAGAGAGACCGTGGCAGCCCACTGACATAGTCTTGGACTGCTTCTTGGTGACAGAAGACAGGCATCGAGGGGCTTTTGCCAGCAAGGGGGACAGGGAGAGGGCCCTGCTTGTGCTGAAGCAGGTGCCAGTGCCGGATGATGGCTCCCTAGACGACATCACTGATTTCCAAGCCAGCACAGTGGACAAAGACGACCAGCCTGTTATCTTCGAGGCCTCAGGTAAAAGCCTTCTTCCTTCCTAGGCTTCCTCCGTGGGGACAGCTCAAGTCCCTGTCATATCTACCCACCCCTACTTCCCACCCGCCTAGGGGTGTCTGTCTAATATCACTTCTGTGACCACCCTTCTCCCCAGTGGACTTGGTACAGATCCCTCAGGCAGAGGCCTTGCTCCATGCGGACTGCAGTGGGAAGGTGGTGACCTGTGAGATCTCCCAGTACTTCCTCCATGCTAGACCAGAGGCCACTTCAGAGAGAGCAGCTTGGTTCATGAGCAACGTGCAGGTATCTAGAGGGGGACCCAGTGTCTCCATGGTGATGAAGACTCTAGAAGATGCTGAAACTGGAGCTGTCTGGCACCCTACGCAGAACCTACCCCTGAGTCCCCAGGGTACGGTCAAGGTTGCAGGTGAGAAAATCAAAAGCAGCGGCACGAGGTTACGAGGTTTCCTTTTATGTTTTTATTACACTTTGCGTGTGTGTGTGTGTGTGTGTGTGTGTGTGTGTGCGCGCACATGCCACAGCCCATAGGTAGAGGTCAGAGAACAACTTGTGGGAGTTGGTTCTCCCCTTCCACCGTGCGGGTTCAGGGACTGAACTCTGTTCACTAGCCTTGGCAGCAAGCCCCTTTACCCACTGTGCCATCTCAGTGGCCCCAAGTTTCTTTCTTTTAGTTGTGAGAGCTGGGATAGAAGGAAGAAATAAAGTCTATAATCTATCACATAGGTCCTCTTGGGGTACCACAATATAGACCTTCATCTTTTCCTTCTAAAATATCCTGAGTCCCAGAACAGGGGACCCTGGGAGATTCTTTTTTTTTTTTTTTAAATATTTATTTATTTGTCATGTATACAATATTCTGCAAGCCAGAAGAGGGCACCAGACCTCATTACAGATGGTTGTGAGCCACCATGTGGTTGCTGGGAATTGAACTCAGGACCTTTGGAAGAGCAGGCAATGCTCTTAACCTCTGAGCTATCTCTCCAGCCCCCCTGGGAGATTCTTACTTGATTAAGGGTCAAAATATAAAAACCATCAGGTATTTTCTCCAAAATGGAGATGACTTTTCTCTCACTGGGCTGTCGTGGGGAAATGAGGCTCTTCTGTCTACACCTGTGGCCACCGCTCTCTTCTTTAGCCAAACACCTGTTTTCTCTCACTGAAAAGCCACACAGCTCTGGTTTCTCACAGCACTTTCAACAGAGCACAGGGAGACAGAATTTGTTCCCTACCTCTTATTAACAAAGCCCAGCCCTAAGGGAGGAGCTTGGTCCTGCTTCAACTTGCTGGGCCATGCTTTGTTGACACCCAAGGGAGACTAGACAGATGGGGAGTGGATGGAGGTGGGTAAAGGGATGGGGGAGGGAGCGGAAGGAGAGGAGGGAGAAGAAGCTGGACGGGATGTAAAATAGTTGAAAAAATTTAATTAATAATGATAATAACCAGTCCTTGTCCTCTCCCATTTAGCACCACCTACGAGGCGCAAAGAAATTAGGAACATGGTAGCAGGTATCTGAAGAGTCCAGTTCAATATTTTGCCTCTAAAGGGAGACATCCAAATCCACAAAGGATGGAGATGTGGGGGAGCTCCTCTCCGATCCCTGGAAAGCCATAAGACATTAACCTTTATAATTACTTTGTCTGTGCTGAAGATTGAGCCTAGAGCCTTGTGCATGCTAAACAGCTACTCTGCGCTGGCCTACAGCTGCGACTTCTTTTTCAGTTTTATTGTGAAATGGGAACTCTCAGCAAAGTGCCCAGGCAGGCCTTGAACTCATGATCCTGTTATGCCTCCTGAGTCACTGACAGTCCAAGTAGGCACTACCATTTCCACTGCCTCTACAGCCCTATCTAAATGAACCTTGACGCATCAGAAAAGATGTCCAGCATCGACCACAGGTCTTGTGTGGCTCAGTGCTTCTCCCTTTTTGAGATGATTTAAACCTAAAAATAAAGCCACACTGTGGTGGTGCGCGACTGTAATCCCAGCACTCAGGAGGCAGAGGCAGGTGGATCTGAGAGTTCAAGGCCAGCCTGGACTACAGAGTGAGTTCCAGGACAGCTAGAGTTACACAGAGAAACTCTGTCTCCAAAACAACAAAAACAAAAAACCCAACAACAACAATAACAAAACCAAACCGACCAATAGGTGAAATAGCATAGACCCACACGGTCTTGACCAGTCTTACCAGAGATTCATCTTGTCCCACTTCCTCTCTGCCTCTGCTAAAATAGACATTCTCCCTTTGAACTGACTAGACCATAGGGACCACAGCACTTCACCCCCAGATGTTCCTTCCTATGCACAGCTATAGCTTAGAGCTGAGAGTCATAACCACCAAACAAGGATCCCAGAAGCGTATCAAGGCTGGGCAGTGCGCTACTCATAGTAACAAGGGATCCGGTGCACAAAGAACTTAACCGTATTTTAGACACGGAAGAA